AAAGAAGTAAATTCCGTTTATCATTTATTTATATGTTAAATAACAAATCCCTCTGGGTGTGGCCTGCTTAGGTATTTTTGGATGTGTATCTCCTACAGCCCTCTTCCACTGAGAAACTTTTCTTGCAGAAAGGAGGTTTTTCCACTACCTAGAGCTGAACCTGCACAACATTTTCCTGTACCCCTCACTGCGCAGCTTGAAAATGAGAAGGGGAGTAGGCAGAGCTGGCCTGCTCTCAGGTTTCTTTTCAGGTTCTTTTATTAATTTTTTTTCCGAATGAGCAGTACAGATCCCAGTGAGCTGTGTGGTGAATAAACTGAAACTTCTTCAGTTTCCCTCTGAATTACATCAGAGTCTGAGCTGACCTCACACTGAATGCCAAATGGCTGCATAATTTTGGCACATAAGTGAATGTCTTTCAAACTTTTCCTACCTGAAATCTGTATTCCTGTTTCTCAGAGCAAATATATTTTCTTGTATTAAGCTGAATGAAAGTGAACTACTTTTCGCTATTGCTTGGATGCTGCCTTTTCTTTGTGCTTTGTGCCTGCCCGTTGCCATTCCTGTGCAGTTGTCTGTGCTAGAACTCGCAGCAGCTGATACCTTTGAACAGAAGCCTTCAAGTGTCAAGAAAGCATCACCACACTCATGGGCTTCCTGTTCCTGTAGAGACGTGTGCGCAGCACTTCTTTTAATTATCGTTCTGGTCTGGGCATCCTTTAATACTGCAAGAGGGCATGGGGCATCCTTTCAGCAAGTGCCTCGTCCGGGGGGAGATCTTAACTTCTGCGAGGAGACAACTGGCCGTGGGCACGGGTGAGCTGGGGAGATGTGAGCACCCTGGGGAGCTCTGGCAGCCGCTTTGTGCTGCTTGTCCAATCCCTCAGCCGTGCTGACAGCTGGCAAGGGGTGGCTCTTGAAGTTTGCCTTCCATATATAACGTGGCGTAGTATGGTTTTGTTGTGGCCAAGAAGATACCAATGTGCAATGGTATGGATAAGTGCAACGGTATCGATATGTGCAACAGATGTCTGGTAGTTCTGCTATGGGGATGTAATTTCACAGCAGCGGTTTATTAACCAAAGCATGAAGGCTTCACTAACCTATTTTTAAATGTTAGTTAAAATACATATATATATACACATTGTTGAAGTGCAGTATGTTTATAGAATTGCTAAAAGCTGGAGAGACCAGGTTCTGCCACGGACAGCCCTGTAGCCTGTCTCTTGATTACCTTCTCAGCCCTGGCAGCCTCCATAACCACAGTCCCAGCTGTACACCCGCACGTTCCCGCATGTCGTCTTGCTGTGCCTTTAGCAATGGGTTTCACGGGTAAAGGACAGTGGAGGTTTCTGCTGTTGTCTTTGGGGAGGGAAAGGGGAGCTTTGAACCAGTTGACCATTTACCCAGTTGTGTGCAAGCCCTGCAGTAGGGCCATGGGAGTCTGAGGGCTTTCACGGGTGGCTAAATGGCAGGTGTCTGCAGCGAGTGTTATCTTTGTTTGGTACCTGATCACCTTCACAGGCTGGCTTTATTCTGTAGTATGGTGGATCTTCTACTTGGCTTATTGATCACACTTTGTAAACTGTTGGTAATTATGTTTAAAATCTGACTATTTTAAATAGCGTTGTAACAGACAAGTTATAGAAAGATTTAATTAGCACTAAATCAGAAGTATTCAGTAATTTTTTCCCTTTTTGTATATGCAGTATATCTGCATCTGATCTGAGCCGGAGCCTCCTTTGTAGTCAGCAATGCATTCTGGCAGCATTAACTTTCTTTGGGCTTCACAGTATTTGAAACTCTTACATCCCGGAGTTATTGTTTCTTCAGAAAATACGTGGAATATCCTAGAGTCACAGAATAATTTAAGTTGGAAAGGAGTCCCAGAGGTCATCTAGTCCAGCCCCTGCTTGAAGCAGGGGGGTGCAGTATCTGTCCAATGGAGGAAGAGAAAAATGTGTTCTCTCAGTGGTACAGTCAAACTCCTGTTTGCGGGAAATAGTTATATGATTATTATTTATTTTAGCCTTGTTTTTAATTTTCATGTATCCCGTTGCTCCCCCAAAATGAAGACACTAAATAGAATCTCATTTGATTTTCCTTCTTCTTGTTTTTGTGTTACAGGCGAATGGACACAGTTTTGTACATATGGAACATGAGAAAGCTGTATTATTACTGAAGAGTTTCCAGAATACAGTAGACCTAGTTATTCAACGTGAGCTTACTGTCTAAATATTTTTTTATAAATAGTAAATATGTCTAGCCAGATCTAATGTTCAAACAGATTTATACATAGGAAACAAATTTTTTGCCAATTGCTGGACCAATGGCAAACAGTAGTGCCAAATGTATAATACTATATGTTAGTACCAATCATCTTGAAAAAAATATATTAACTATATAAATATATTGTTCATGTGGCTATGTATTAGTTTTAATTGTCAGCCTCTGGCTGTGCATTGGTGCGTTTTTTTAATCAAGTTACTTCTTAAGGTCAATTTCATATGATTTCAAAACACAGAAGCACATACAAATCCTTTAGGAATTCTGCTGTCCATCAGAAACACTGCCTCAAAGTTGTATATGCCTTTATAAAGATAAAATATATTAACCTGTACTTCCCATGAAATATTTCTATCATGTCACATACAAAAATATAGAGAAAAAATATTTTCATAAACACCTCAAAGAAAGTATATATTAAATTAAATTTAATAATGTTCATTTATTTTCAATGCAAAGATATTATATGCCTTATGAAAATACCTGTACATATGCAGTGTGTATAGCTGGCTCCATATTAATTAGTAAAAATGTCACTATACAGGGTGAGATACTTAATAAATTATACTGTCAACTCTGGGACCTAGATATAAATAACCTACATGAAAATTGGTTAACTTCCTTTGGTTTGACACTTCTAGTTGATTCCATGTGAACACACTAAATGGACGAACAGCGGGTTTAGACAGGTATGGTTCATAAATGGAAGAAGGTTGTGATAGGTGGCAGTAAAACTTCTTCTGTTGCTGCTAATTTTATTATTTAAGTTTTCAATTTAAAATTACAGGCCCTTTACTTATATTCCTCATTCCTCCAGTCTTACATTGTTCTGCATTTTTACTCTGGTCCAGGCTGTGCTAGCCCCTGCTTGCTGTATTCACTGTCAGTGAGGCTTTAACCTTTATACAATCCTCTATTTGAGTAATAGTCTCTTTAAAATGAGTGGGAGCAGATTTAATCTAAGATACAATGCATCACAGGGGGAGCAGCAAATGACACTGAGTGAGCCTGGGAAAAGCTTTCCCACTGAAGTACGCAGTTTGAAAACCCTTAAGGTAAAAGTCCTGGTGCTGTTCCCAACAGAGAATACTGACAGCACAGGGCTTTGCAAAACTGCTGTTGGGTCAGCAGTTCAGGTGTCCATCGTGTTTATAACTGACAGCAAGACAGAAAAACATAAAACCTCCCATGAGATTTTTTCAGGGGATGCAGTTTCCATTGACCTGAATGACACTGATGGCAAGGGACTGCAGGGAGAGCCGGAACCTGCTCCGGGAGGGCTGGGCTCACTTGCACCTTTTCCAGCTGGATTAGCAACACCCTGAAAAACCAAAGTCAGAGGAGTGTACCTATAGCGCATGGGCAAGGCTAGGAACATTTTGCTTTTCTGCTTGCAAGAGCCTCTAGAAAGTCTTAAACCTTTCTTCTCTTCCCATCAAGCGCATGCTGACTGAGGTAATTATACTTCAAATTAAACTAAACTTCAAAGGAAGTTATGTATATACATATAAACTGCCATTATGTATAAAGCCCTGTCTGCTATTTGGACCTAGTATTCCTCCTACAGAGGTATAAATATACTTTGTGGAGTTTTGCTGCAGTCCTGCATACAGTAAGTGGAAGGCCTGAGCTACGAAAGGTGCTGTCAGCATTCCTGTTAGCCGATGTGTCCCTGACGTCACTGAAACACACCATTACACGGAGTTCCTGCACAGGCGGTTTGGTGTGCGAGGGGCTTACGCCAGGCTCACGGCAAACCAGACAAATTCATGGCAGAGAAATCTGCTGAGGTTACTAAATGCCTAGCAATCGGTTTGGGTTCAGGTGTTAGGACAGGGTGGTATTAGGAAGACCACCTGTGCACATAGGAAAGAAGAGATAAAAGTACCCCATACATAAAAATTAAATTACAACTTAGAACTGTAGGACCTATCCCCTAATGTTATTATGAAGCACCAGCTTTTAAAGTGTTTGGATTTTTTTCCTTTTTTTTTTTTTTTTTAACTGCATGGCAGCTGTTGAGAAGTAGAGTCTGGCCAGGCCCAGACCCGTGCTGGGTCAGTGCAGAGCTGCAGCCCTGGGCTCGGCTGCGCTAAGGGATTTCTTTAGCAATCGTTTGGAAAGTGACACTTCTACATTTGCATGTAAGTTCCCTGTTCTCTCATTGTTTGCTTCTCCCTTTTTCTCCTCAATCAACAGGAATGATTAAGTTTATTAGTATAAATATTAATGAAACATGAATTCCGAGCTGACTGAGCAGTTTCCCACATCACGTGAATTTTACTTTATCCCCGCAAGCATTCCTACTGGAAGAGCTTCTGTACCACCGGAGTGGCAACGCACCGCCAGGTGCCACAGTGAGCCATAGCTGATGCTAATCCTAAAATTTACAATTTGAATAAATGATTTTATGATATTGAGAATGTAAATTTAAATAATTAATACTTTTAAATTAAATTAAAATCTTCTTGATACCACAAGCTGAAAAAGCTTGCTGAATTTACATGATTTGGTTTTGGATTGTTATTTGCTCAATTTTTTTCAGCTTTCAGTTTTCCATTTCATGGATGTAACTTCATAATGTGCCATCAAATCACACAGGCTCTGGCAGAGCCCATCTAAAACTTCTCTAACATTCATGGCATTTCATAGGCCAAAATTTCCATTCCTAAGTCCTCATTGCCATTTAAAAAAAGAAATAAGGGGTTATTCAACATCACGTTCAGAAAATTGTAGACACCTACGTAGCTTTTAGTTCATTATGTTGAATGGGAATTAGGTCCCTTAATAGGCATGCATGCACCTAAATTCCTCTGTGGAGCTGCCTTTGTCTTTTCATGCAGAAAATCACTCTTCTGAATGTGACCACACACACGCCTACACGGCGATGCAGTGTATACCAGCACGTCTGTTGTTACACACCCTGTAGGCATTTCATGACAGCACAGCTCCCCAGCCCAGAAAGCCTTCCTGTGACTCTGCTTTGGGCAGGAAAACGGAGTAAATGACTACGGCAGCTTTGAATCATGCTGTAATGCTGTCTGATGTCATCATACAGAACATGATGCACCCATCTGCCCCCTGCAAGCAAAATGACAAGACAGACTCCTGAGACGTGTGCCAGCATTAAATATACCTATTACGTACATAGCGTGAAAAAATCCGATAGGGAGTTGCAGATAAAGGGCTCTATCTAGAACCAAGATAACAACTTGCAGGCAAAAATTGGTAAACTGAAAAAAGCACGTGAGCTTTAGTGCTCGTTAATACCACATTTTGTGCTCAGTTGTTTTTCTGCATGCTGAGTTTATTAAACCTAAAGCACAGTGGCATAATCAGTCGGGGCTGTGTGCAGAACTGTATTTCAAGATTGCTGAGTGCTTTCATTAATGGGTTATAATGAAAAGGAAATTACAATAAAATTAAGCTAGTGCAGTGGAATGTCACATTTAAATCCTTAACTTAGCCAAAACTCCCACCGACCCTAGGAAGGGGCTTGGGGGGGAGGGTTTGGACTCCCAGCTGAAACATACAGTAGCGAAGCTTTAACATCAACCCCCACTGCCCAAAAAATACCAAATATTTTCTTTTTGGCATTATTTTTATTCGAATTGGCTGAAATGGTGTTTTGCTAGCACTAGTATTATGAGCAATTAAAATTACTTTAATGGGACTACTTAGGATTTGTAGATTAGTCCTTCAAAATAACTTGCACCTTTTGTCTTTCCTGGAAGGTGTCCCGTAACCTCACAGACACAATCACGTACAACCCGGTTTGCAGGTCAGGTACCAGGTTATGTGCATGCTTTGCACATAATTATGATTATTTTTTTTTTTTTACTAAATATTATTATATGGCAAGTGCTGGAGGCAGGTGACAGGTCACGCTGAGGTGAATTCCACATGTGGGTCCGCTTTCATGTGTGTGAATGAATTTTGATCCAGGCAAGCACAGCCTCAGAATGCAGATGGTTTCCTTTCTTTAGGTGGTTCACCACTCCCAAATACACCGTATGTTCTCCCACACTGACTATACAAGCATTCAAACTCAGTATCTTTCTAAAGCTGCTAATGGAAATTTTCATACTGTCTGAGACAGGCTGTGTTAGAAATACCATGGGGAAGTCCAGCATGCGGCCGGCAGCTCTCCCCGCCAGGTTTTCGCTGTAGTGCTGCAGCACACGCGCGTTCCCATGGCAATAGCAACGCGCAGTTCGGCTTTTTTAGATTTTTCCATGCAATAAAAACACTTCACTAATGATCCTCAGGGAAGGGCTACATTTAAAAAAGGAAGCCTGCGATGTAATTCCCTTATCCTCATTTTGCACCAAGTTTTAAGGAGCTCGGTGGCTGGTGCCAGAGCTCCCATTCCTGTGCTACCCCTCGTACCCTGTAACCAACTGCGGGGCCTCCTCCGCCGAGTACACGGTATGCTGAAAAACCAGTGGCCACGCTGGTAGGAACTCATTTGCTTTTCTTCAGTCTTGTTACAAGGCAGCTCTTAAGGGGAAAAAAAAAGGGGGGAAAAAGAAAAAAAAAAAAAAAAAAGGAAAAAAAGCTGCTTCCAAAATGCTTTTCTTATTTTGAAAAAATAGTTAAGCCCAGACCCCAGGAAGCCTGCGGGACTCTCCAGTCTTAATAATTTACCCATTTTTCCATTCACAGCTTGCAGTTTTTATCTGGGTGTTGATAAACTATGATGTTTAGAAGCCAGTTGTTCATAATAGTGATCATTTAACATCTCCAAATCTGTTTTGGTGTTTTCCAAGACGTTTTCTAGCATGTCCATGCCTGCGTCTATGTTTCATGGCACGATGCTAGCTCCTGAGGTGGGGACAGGGCGTGCCAGCCAGGGACAGCTGTGCCTGGCCGTGTCTCAGCGGGGGCACCCGGGCAGGACAAAGCTGAGCGTGCCAGTGGCAGCCGAGAGCTAAGCCGAGGGTAAGTTCCTAACGCTGAGTGCAGTGCAGCCGCGGGACAGCAAATGCAACAATTTCCAGGGGTTCGTTGGCAGCACTCAGCCTGAAAGACTGCTGAGGCTTTTATAGGGTGGCCTTTTTCTGAACAGGAATGAAAGGACCTTGGAAACATCGCTGTAGTAGCATATTTTTAGCTCATATAGGAACACCTGAAAAGTG